GCATTGATTGCAGAGGTTGTTTTGTTGTTGTTGAACTTTCTCCCACTAAACACTGAACTCCTTGAGAATGTGAACAATACCTGGAATACATTAGACATATAATTAATGTTGGTTGACTCAATTGTTACATAGTGAATATACCGTGATATGAATAGACAATGGGAACACTTACTAGTATTATGTAATAAATGATACCTGTACTACAATGGGAGCTCTGGTAGCGTAGTGCCTAAGGCACTTGACTGCTAACCAGAAGGCTGGCGGTTCAAACCCACCAAACAGTTCTCGGAAGGAAGGTTGGGCAATCTACTTCCGTAGTGACGCTGCCTGGGAAACCCAAAGAGGGGTCACTATGAGTTGGGTCCAACTCAACGGCACATAACAACAACAACATACTACAAAATATATACTTGAGTGACAGCACTTGTCCATAAGCAAGGAATATAAAGTAAGTCATGAACACTATTCCTAAGTAGTTATCCAATCACAGCTGCATAAGTGGGCAGACAACAGTACAGTTTTAAAGAAATGGTCACAAATGTCCTTATTGTGCTGGCTGCACCAGCAATTCTTTAATATCTTGAAAGCACCCCACTGAACTTGTTTCAGAATCTTTGTGCTCACTGCTCCCTCTCTTGGAGAATGCAAATTTTCAAACCAATTCTGACGTGGCTGGCTCTTTTATACTATTTAGGTCTCAGCTCAAATATTACCTTTCCAGGTATCTTCCCTGATCATGCATACTAAAGTAGCACCCCACTCCATAGCTCAGTGTTTGCCATTACCCTCTGGTTTTCTTCATAATACTTATCACTATGAAATCACATTATTTGCGAACATATTTATATTGGTTTCCTGTTTACCACTTTATCCTCTGCATGTCAATAGTGTGTAGCTCATATAAGTACTCAATAAATTTGTTGAATGAATGAATGATAGAGAATGAGAGAAAAGTATAACACTAATACACCAGTAGCAAATGGTAGGGATTTCAACACTGAAAAAGAGAATATTATTCGTCACCCATGCAGGGAGCTCTGGTAGCATAGTGGCTAAGACACTTGCCTGCTAACCAGACGGCTGGCGGTTCAAACCCACCAGCCACTCCTCGGAAGGAAGGTTGGGCAATCCTACTTCCGTAGTGATACTGCCTCGGAAACCCAAGGAGGGGTCGCTATGAGTCAGGTTTGACTTGACGGCACATAACAACAACAACAACATGGAGGGCAGAGATAGGCAGATATATTATTCTTCCTCAGGACCAGAATTTTGACTTAACAAGGGCCACACAACTTTTTATCTAAAGGAGATCATGTCCATTTCAGTGGGCACCTTTGCCAGAGAAAAGTTTTAAAACAGGGTAACTGCTTACACCTAGACTTGTCTAAAGACCAGTCCTGTTAAGACTGCCCAAACTCCACAATAAGTACCATAAGCATTGTCAACATTGCATTTCTGGCACATAGCACAGTTCCAGTCCACAGCAGAGGCCCAAAATGTTTGTTAAGTGCACACATAAGCCATGGTCTTCCGAGGAATGACCATCCTATCAACTCTTATATTATGAATACACTTGTTTCAGAGACATGGCAAAGCAGCATCGGAGGCCTAGGCCTACGCCTCTCCCTTGAGCAACAGCTTGTTTTCTATAAGTCAAAATTTCTCAACCCTATGCCATAGGTAACAGTCAATTCAGACTCAACCTATATCAAATTTGAATAACATTGCCAATGCAATATAATAGCTAATATAGCAAAGCAAACAGTAACAGATTTCTCTTGTCATTTTTTTTTAATATGTAGTTTAGTCACTTTTATGAACGGAATTGTGTCCCCAAAAATACGTGTTAGAATCCTAATCCCTATACCTGTGGATAAGGAAACTTGGTGGCACAATAGGTAAGTGCTCAGCTACTAACAGAAAGGTTGGGAGTTCGAACACACCCAGTAGCTACACAGGAGAAAGACCTGGCGATCAGCTCACATAGTGATTATAGACAAGACAAAAGTTGCATGAGATAATTATAACAACAATTTTAAAAAAAGCAAGAGTAGCTGTTAAGGCTGCTTACATACAACCAAGTATCTCATAGGATTTGGTTCCTTGGTTTGTAAGTTTAAGCTCTTGGTTTCATGAGACATCCTAGTTAACTGGTCTAACATGTTTAGTGCTTCTGTTCTACCTCCTAACTTGTTGTGTAGTGCCTGGGTCTTTTTGCTTACAAGCAACCATCCCTGGCACAATAACTGGTCTCTAGTCATCTGGAGCAACAGAAAAAGATGGAGAGTCAAGACCAGGAAGAAGAAATAAAATGTGGCTAATTGCATAAGACCAGAAAGGATGTATAGTGCCTAAGGCATTTGACTGCTAACCAGAAGGCTGGCTATTCAAACCCACTAGCCACTCCTCAGAAGGAAGGCTGGGCAATCTACTTCCGTAGTAATACTGCCTCGGAAACCCAAGAAGGGGTCGCTATGAGTCGGGTCCAACTCGATGGCAAATAACAACAACAACAGAACAGGATGGTTCCTGGCTACCATTATTGAACATTTGGATCAAAGATTCTATGAAAGAATCTTGATCAAAAGGAGGAAAATGCAGATCAAAATTTCAAATTCTCATAGAACCCAGATTTTCTGGAGCAATGAGGGTTGGATGAACCCCTAAAACTACTGTTGTTGCTATGTGCCGTCAAGTGGAACCCAACTCATAGTGACCCCTCCGTATTGCCCTGAGATAATCTTTAAACCTTAAACTTTACACCAAAAATAAACCTTGAAGATTTCTTAAAACTATAGCTTAGCTTAACTAGTAAAGAATGTTTGCCTTCAGCAAAGTGCTATTTAAAGATCTATCTATACAGCATCAAATTTACAACAGCAACTCAAAAGATAGGAAACTTATGGGGCAGTGACTTTATGTTAATGGGGGAGGAACAACTCAGAAAAAGAGGGTAAGAATGGTTGCACAACTTGAAAAACGTAATCAATGTCACTAAATTGTACATGTAGAAATTGTTGAATTGGTTTATGTTCTGCTATGTATATTCACTCTCAAGAGTTACAATAAGAAAATAAATTATTGAAAAAAAAATACAGGCAAAAAACCCTATAGGTAAGTTCTACTCTGTCATACGTGGTCATTATGAATCTGAATCAACTCGATGGCACAACAAAATACCTGTGGATATAAACCCATTTGGGAATATGAATTTGTTATGCTAATAAAGTCATAGGAGCTCTGGTGGCATAGTGCCTAAGGCACTTAACTGCTAACCAAAGCTCCACGGTTCAAACCCACCAGCCACTCCTCGGAAGGAAGACTGGGCAACCTACTTCCATAGTGACACTGCCTCGGAAACCCAAGGAGGGATCAATGTGAGTTGAAGATGACTTGACAGCACATAACAGCAACAACAACAATGAAGTCATAGCAATGTAGGGTATGTTTAAACCCAATGATTTTTGAGATATAAAAAGAGCAGATTAGACACAGAAAGAGGCAAGCAAGCAGAAATTGGGGCAAAGAGAGATGCCAAATGGGGATCACCAAAGAACAAAGGGACAGAAGTTAAGAGACAAAGACTTTCTCCCAGAGCAGAGAGGAGCCTTCCCCTGAAGCCAATGTCCTGAATTAGGACTTCCAGCCTCCTAAACTGTGAGAAAATAAATTTGTTAAAGCCACCCACTTGCTATTTTTTCTTACAACAGCACTAGTAAAGTAAGACAGGAAAGCAGGATAGCTCAAAATGCTGAAAGACCAACCAAGATTGAAGAATTCTACTGCTAATCTCCCAGCCACCAGCGTGGATCATTGTGTGATCCTAGGAAAAATCACACCACTTTCTTAACTGTTAGTTTCAACAGCAGTAATATTCTTCAAGATGTTCAAGATAGTTTGAGGAAGATTAATTAGCTAGTACTTGAAATGTAATCTGAAGCCAGTGTGTATGAAAGATGTCATAAATCTAATTATGAAACAAGGGAAATCATAAATATTAAACTCACTTCAAAATCTGAGAAACTGAAAGATTTAAAATTAAGCCTGTGGCTCTGATATTAACTCTCAGAGTAAGTCAAGTAATCACAGAAAAAGATCTGTGACATTCACAAAAGATCGTTAATTTTAATTTGTAGATGTTGAATGATTCTGTAATCTGGTAACATTAACTTCATATGTATAGAGGAATGAAGCAGTAAAAGTGACAATCACAAAATTATGGCTGTTCAAACAGTTAACTGAAGCTGGATCGGTGTCTAATCTCCATGTTGTTAAATAACTCAATTTCCGTGAGAAACATAAACCACTTTTAAAAAAGCTGTTCATACTTCTCTGCCCTCTCTACCTACTGACCACCACAAACACCCAAGTACAATATCATAGGAACATATAGCAGCAAAGTGCACTTTCTCGCCAAATCACTTCCTAACATATTTCCACTTTAAAGCACTTTTATCAGTTTGTGTTTGTCAAAAAACTCTTAGGGAGAAGAGGGAAGAAACAAATCTAAGTACAACTGAGGGGTCAGCTCCTGAAGCAGAGGCTAAAATCTACTTCTGGGGAAGAGTCAGTTAGGTCTGACTGTAGCCTAAATGAATGGAACAAGGTGATTGGGAAAGGGGCAGGATTCCATCGCCTTCCTCGGGACAGCTTCTTCCTTCAGCCTGGCATCTTCAGCCTGAGCCTGGCACAAATATCTCAAAGGGCAAGGAGCCGCGGCATCCAGCCCGACCGTCACTGCTCAGCCCACAGCTCACAGGTGAAGGCCGGGGCTGGTGGCAGGATTTATCCTCCTCTCGCCTCCGCCACCACCACTGGCTGAGGTAGGGGGCAGTGCCCGATGCCCCCAGGGCAGGAACTGCCGAAGTTCCGCGCAAAGATGAAGAGTCCGCACCAAAACCTCCTGCAAGCCAGAGGGTCCCCGCTGCCACCACCCTCCTCAAGAAGGTGCCCAGGGTGGCGTGTAGGGGACAGCCAGGATGGCAGCGGCCAGTACTCACAAAGCCCACTGGAGCCGGTGCTGGTGAACATGGTCCCGCCGGGCCTGGAGCCCCCGCGGGGCCAAAGGGGGAGGGGAAGCGGTGGCTGCGAGACCCGGCGACCGCGCAGGCGCACTGCCGGCGGGGCGGCGAACTCGGCGACTCTAATATTACTCTCGAGAGCCGCCTGACGTACGGGGCATGCGCGGCCATTGGGGCGCACACGCTCCGTCAGCCCCGTCCCTTCCTGCGGAGGAAGGGAAGTGCTCCCACAATAGTAGGAGATCCGCCCCTCAGGTGTTTTCGATAGCCGCTATGGCTCTTGGAGAAGAAGTGGGATGGTATGGGAGAAACAGAGATGTAACTGCTTGGAGCCGCACGTCTCTGCCCAGCACCTCACCTTTCAGCCACAATTATAGCAGGTTCGTGTGGAATGCCAGCACTGAGCGTTCTCTTGCGACCAATACTCCAGTCTTCCAGGATGAGATTGGCGAGTTCCACACAAGCTGTGTCTAATGGGGCAGTAACCCGAAGCTCGCTCCACCAGGGACTTTTGCTGACAATTTTGACAGTTTGAACCTTCTGAAGTTCCGGTGCCCAAATCCGAGAGGTCGCTCTGCCGACCTCGCAGCGCTGGAAGAGGAACCTGAGCAGGACCACTCGTGGCGGAACGAGACCGTCTAGCTTGCCATCCTCGTTTTACCCACTTCGGCCCGGGCTGACGCTATACTAAAAGAACGAAGTAAGGGGGTCCCTCGGCCCCGCCGCGGACTCTGTTGGCCGTGTCTCTAGCAGAACGGAATCTGTGGCGGAGCGACGATGCTCTCCAAACTTCTACCCTGGCTTTTCCTTGCAGGCTTGAGTCTTATAATTAATTCTCAGCTATGAGTTTATCCTTTGAATAATGAAATTACTTTCTGCTAAAATAAAGTCAGGGTTTGTGAAATGGCAGTGTAAAGCCAGAAAAACTAATTTTGTTATGCAGTCCTAAAAACATTTATTTTATGTTGTGCAGACTTTTTTAAAGAATACATATAGGCAGTGTTGTTGTTAGGTGCCATCAAGTCGGTTCCAACTCATAGTGACCCTATGTATAGCAGAACAATATACTGCCTGGTTGTGCACCAGCATCACAATCCTTGCTATACTTGAGCCCCGTATGTTGCAGCCCCTCTATCAATCCATCTTGTTGAGGGCCTTCCCCTTTTTCACTGACCCTGCACTTTACCAAGCATGATATCTGTGTTGGATTGGGTTCTCTAGAGAAACACAAAAACCAGCAAAGTGTATATATATATCTATAGAGAGAGAAAGAGAGAGAGAGATTTATCTTAGGTAAATGGCTCACAAGCGTGTAGCAGCCGACAAGTTCAAGCTGAAAAGTTCGTCTCTGGAGGGGGATGGGGCCCGGAGCCGCCTGGCTTTCGCACGCACGGCAGAGGAGTTCAAGCCACAAAGTTCGTCTCTGGAGGAGATGAGGCCCGGAGCCGCCTGGTTCCTGGCACGCAGCACGCTGGTTGCTGTTCCCAACAAAGGATGAATCTGAAACCTCCAGGGCGAGTGGCAAGCCGCTCACTCAAGGAAGTATATAGTCCGGAATGCCGTTCTTCCAGCTTGTCCTTGGAATAGCATTGAAGGTAGGCCACACCCCTGGGGAAACTCCCCTTGGGCAGACCGGCTGCTCAGAACTCAGTCATCTGATCCCATCATGGGAACCACCATTCACAACTGGAGTCCAGCCAAGTTGACACATCTTCAACTATCACAGTATCCTTCTCCAGGGAATGGTCTTTTGTGACGACATGACCAAAGTAGGTGAGAGGAAGTCTGGCCATTCTTGCTTCCAAGAAGCATTTGGCTGCACTTCCTCCAGGACAGATTTTTAGTTCTTCTGGCAGTCCGTGGTATTTTCAGTATTCTTCACCAGCGCAATTCAAAAGCATCAAATCTTCTTCAGTCTTCCTTATTCATTGTCCAGCTTTCATATGCGTATGAAGTGATTGAAAATACCTTGGTTTGGGTTAGGCACACCTTAGTCTTCAAAGAGATCTTTGCTCTTCACTTGAAAGAGGTCTTTTGCAGCAAATTTACCCAGTGCAATATTATGTCTGATTTCTTGACTGCTGGTTCCAGGTGTATTGATGGTGGATCCAAGTAACAGAAAATCTTTGACAACTTCATTCTTTTGCCCTGCCATGTAGTAAATTACTTAGTGTGGCTTTTCTGCCCATAAGTCTTTGTAAACTCCAAGGTGGGAATTGCTATTAGCAACTGAGGAGATCCTGATTACTAAAGTCGCCCACCTGGAGTATTTCTGTTGGGAGTGGCACAAAACAATGTTCTGGGAGGTTCCCACTCTCTCTCAGGTGCTTAGAGTTCTGATGCTATGATTGGCTAGTTTGGCCACTCTCCCAGGCTCAAAAGGAGGCCTCCTAGAGGCAGAACTCTCTCTGACTGCTGGTTGATGAAGACGTGCTGCTGAAAGAGACACACGCTCCGGAAGGAGACACAAGACACACGCGTTGCTAAGACACCGAGGGACATGCACTGCTGGGGGAGAGACTGTGAGAGACTTGGCTGAGAGACAGTGGGCTGGGAGAGAGACTGAGCATTTTTCCTGAACTTGAATTGTAGCCTGGTGCTTCCCTAGTAAACTCCAAAATCTGTGAGTTCTGTGTGGTCACTGCAGCGAATTATCGAACCCAGGAGAGAGGTGGTGGGTGCTTTGGGAGGCAGCATGGGTTGGAGAAAGGGCTGAGGGAGGCAGCATGTCTGGCCTTGTAGGAATAGGCCTTGGGTTACTGCTGGTAATCCTGTCTTCCTCTTGTAGGTTTAGAGGAGGTCAGAAGATGTGGACTCCTTGCCGTTTTTGCAATCATGATGCTGCTTATTGGTCCATCTGTGAGGATTTTTTGTTGTCTTTATATTGAAGGGTAATCCGTGTCGCAGACTACAGCAGACTGTAGTCATTTATCTTCATCAGCAAGTGCTTCAAATCACCTTCACTTTCAGCAACCAAGGTTGTGTCATCTGCATATCACAGGTGGTCAATGAGTCTTCCTCCAATCCTGATGTCACATTCTTCATATAGTCCAGCTTCTCGGATAATTTGCTCTGCATAGCGATTGAATAAATATGGTGAAAGGATACAACCCTGATGCACATCCTTCCTGATTTTAAACCGTGCAGTATCCTCTTGTTCTATTTAAAGGATAGTCTCCTGGTCTATGTGCAGGTTCTTCATGAGCACAAGTAAGTGTTCTGAAATTCCCATTCTTAATGCTACCCGTAATTAATTATGATCCACACAGTTGAATGTTTTTGTATAGTCAATAAAACATCTTTCTCGTATTCTTTGCTTTCAACCAAGATCCAGTGATGTCCTTTGTTCCATGCCCTCTTCTGAATCCAGCCTGCATTTCTGGAAGTTCCCTGTCAATACACTGCTATAACCATTTTTGAATTAGCTTCAATAAAATTTAACTCGTGTGTGATATTAATAATATTGTTTTGATAATTTTCACATTCTGTGGGATCACCTTTCTTTGGAATGGGTACAAATATGGATCTCTTCCAGTCAGTTGGCCAGGTAGCTGTCTTCCAAATTTCTTGGCATAGGTGAGTAAGTGCCTTCAGTGTGACATCCATTTGTTGAAACATTTCAGTGGGTATTCTGTCAGTTCCTGGAGTGTTGTTTTTCACCAGTTCCTTCAGTGTAGCTTGGACTTCTTCCTTCAGTATCATTGGTTCCCAATCATATGCCACCTCCTGAAATAGATGAACATTGACCAGTTCTTTTTGGTGCAGTGACTGTGTATTCCTAACATCTTCTTTTGATGCTTCCTGCATTGTTCAATATTTTCTCCATAGAATCGTTCAATACTGCAACTCGAGGCTTGAATTTTTTCTTCAGTTCTTTGAGCTTGAGATAGGCAGTATAGTACACTGCAAAACTAAGTTAGGATGACAGTCTACAAAACTATATACAGTATACTTCTTTATAAAGGCCAGCCAATGTGCTAAATGTAGGATTCCTAGATCAATGAAAAGTCCCACCCCTTGAAGTTTCGATAGACCAAAATGTTAGCATTATTTCTAGAAGGCAAAAATACAGGTGAGTTTTGTTCTTTGGGCTTTTCTTTATTTGTAAAATTTGTTTACAATCATGAAAAACAGTTTAGATTTAACTTTGATTTATCCAATTGAGTTATCTTGCAGTAAAATGATAATTTAAAAGTTCTTTATGTTTGCAGAGGCTGTTGTTTGGCTACAACAAAAAGACTAAAACTATTTAATAATAATGCTCAAACATGAACACATTCTTTGTTTGAAGTAAAACCAAAGAGATTCATTGAAGGTTCAAAAACAGTTTGAACCCTGAGACTTCTGATCTCACAAAGTTCAAGCAAACACTCCAAATGGTGGAGTAACAGAGGCATATCTCTATGAGATAAAATCAAAGACTAAAGATAGGACATTCTGATTGGAAGCTGCAAGATCATGGAAGCCAGAGTTAATACAACTTGGGGAGAACTTATATATAGACCAAGAGGCAGTTGTTCAAACAGGAGAAGGAGATACTGCATGGTTTAAATCAGGAAAGATGTGCATATGGTTGTATCCTTTCACCATACTTTATTCAATCTGTGTGCTGAGAAAATGATCTGAGAACCTTGGACTGTATGAAGAAAAATGCAGCATCAGGATTGGAGGAAGATTAACAACTTGCAATGTGCAGATGACACAGCCTTACTTGCTAAAAGTGAAGAAGTCTTGAAACACTGAAGATCAAAGACTACAGCCTTCAGTATGGATTATACCTCAATATAAAGCAAACATCTTTCGTTCTGCTGTGCATGGGGTCGCTATGAGTTGGAAACAACTCGACGGCACTTAACAACAACAACATAAAGCAAACAAAAATCCTCACAACTGGGCTAATAAACAATATCATGATAAATGGAGAAACCATTGAAGTTGTCAAAGATTTCATTTTACTTGGATGTGCAATCAATGTCCATGGAAGCAGCAGTCAAAAAGTCACACAGTGTATTGTGTTGGGCAAATCTGCTTAAAAGGACCTCTTTAAATCGTT